AGTGACACGTCCACGTTGCAAGAGGACCTCAACAAATTGTCAGAGTGGTCCATAGAATGGATGCTCCCGATCAATGTGGCAAAATGCGCAACCATGCGCATTGGACAAGCAAGCACGAACTCCTACGAACTAGAGGGAATAACACTCCCATCAGTTCAGACTCACTTGGACTTATGTGTCATAGTTAGCCACGACTTAAAAACCACAGCACACTGCCGCGCGGTGGCTGCACGTAGTTTCACGTCATTATGGGCAATTCGAAGAGCCTTCACTAGAATCACCAGAGATATGTTCACCTCCTTATATACATCTCTGGTGAGGTCATGACTGGAAAACTGCATCCAGGCCGCCAGCCCTTGTCTAAAAGGGAACTCGCACATTCTAGAAAGGGTTCAAAGGAAGGCAACACGTATGGTTCCCGGAATGACTAATTTATCATACGAATAAAGACTAGACAGTTTAAATCTCTTCTCCTTGTCATACCGTAGGCAGAGAGGAGATTTAATCACAATGTTTAAAATTTTAAATAATGACTACGGACCTGACCTATTTTCTCTTTTCCTTCCCACCAGGTCGGAACACCTTACAGGACATAGCAGGAGAGTTCAAAAGCCAAGAAGAAATCATATTGCTGTTGAGTAATGGTTCTCACATCGAGTCATAAACTCTTGGAACCGACTCCCAGAAGAAGTGGTGTCTGCAACCTCAACTGATTCGTTCAAGAAGGGTTGGCACAACCACAGAAATTTACTAGAAAAGGATTAACATAGGCTCCAAGCCTTCTATCCTCAACCAATACATCTGAATCTGAATATAACGAAAATCGATTACCTTCCACATACACCACCGCCTCTGTCTCCCTCTCACTTGAACGACTCCTAGGACGTGAACAACGCCTCCACCTTTCTTCGCTCTGATTCAGTCCATGTCTTCTCCGACCATATCGATCTCTCTCCTCTCCATCGTCTTCATGCCGATCTCCATACACATCTCTTCCGCAGTAATCAGGATAGTAGTGGCCATCCCAATGTTCCCTTGAAAGCTCATATGTAACACTACGAGCTCCATATCCGTAGTGCAAACTTGAGCGGGGACGTCTCTCGTAGTCTGTAAAAGTAAGGGAAGTTATGAATATGGTATATTATCAACAGAATCTCGCGGTAATGCACAGTGACTAAACCTCACATTCTCATATCACGTTGGAGGTAATAAGGTGTTTTAGGATACAATCTCTTAGCGGTAGATTGAAATAAATAATTAGTCAGCCTGTTAAATCACTCAAGCTTGTGGTCAAGTATGTTCCAGTCCGGCAAAGTACACAGCTCGGACTAGCTACCAGTGTCTTCGTTAACTGATGTCTCGTCTTGGGTTCGGCAACTTTCTCTCATTCAGTTCATATTTCACCCTCCTCGATTAAAGCAAGTTGATTAGGTAGCTATGTTCTGTAACACATCCTCCAATCACATACAACATCTTCCTTCTTTAGGAAGAAGTGACCATGCTGTGCTCACTTTCAAGTTCACAGCAACGGAGGCAACGGCCAAAACCCCAGCTCGACCAAACGTTTGGAAAGCTGATATAAATGCAATCGTCTCAGCAGCCAACTCAGTAAACTGGTACATCAACCCAGAGTCTCAAGTAGAAGCCGCATGGAACCAATTTAAACAACTCTACGCCCAAGTAACTGAACCTTTCATCCCTTGGTCTGTCCCAAAGGGTCGGAAACATTGCCCCCATTGGATAAACCGAGAGATTCGTAAGTTACTCAGACGTAAACGCAAATGTTGGAACTTGTTTGCCACACTTAAGACTTCTGACACCAGGCAATTATATAACACTGCTAGAAATAGAGCTATTGCAGAAATCCACCAATCAACGATGAAGTTCGAAGCACACCTGGCTCAAAATGCAAAGGCACAACCTAAGAAAATTTTCTCGTACATGAACTTCAGGAATAAAACATCCAATGGTGTCCCAAACCTGACTATTGACAATGATACAATCGAAGAAGATCAAGAAAAAGTAGAAGCAATGGCAAACTACTTCTCCCAAGTCTTCACTCAGGAGTCATCACTGCCTATAGGATCAGCTCTGGCTGCATCAGAAGAACATGGGATAGATTCCGTTGACATCAACCAAGGCATCGTGCTCAACTGCCTAAGGAAACTAGATGCAGGGAAATCAATGGGTCCTGATAATCTTCATCCAAGGCTTCTCAAGGAGCTATCAGCCCACATAGCCGGCCCTTTGACTACGATCTTCAAGCTTTCTCTCCTAAATGGAGTGTTACCGTGTGACTGGAAAGACGCCATAGTAACCCTCATCCACAAAGGAGGATCAAGACAAAGCCCTTCAAATTACAGGCCTATCAGTCTCACCAGCACTTTAATCAAGACACTGAATAGAATCATCGAGAAAAGCATTATGGCATATCTAGAAAATAGAAGCTTATTATCTAGAGCACAGCATGGCTTCCGAAGGAACCTTTCATGCCTGTCAAATCTTCTCACTGCAAGAGAAAGCTGGGTCAAATCCAGGGACAACAGAAGACCCATTGACGCCGTCTTCATAGACTTCAGCAAAGCCTTTGATAAAGTACTTCACAAAAGACTACTCATGAAGTTGGAAAGTCTTGGTATCAAAGGCAGCTTACTAAACTGGCTCAGGGAATTGCTCATAGATAGGAGGCAGAGGGTTAGGATCAACTCGAAACTCTCCTCTTGGACAGCAGTACGCAGCGGAGTGCCACAAGGCACGGTACTCGGACCTCTCCTATTTATTTTGTATATCAATGGGTTATCTCTGCTCACCGACTCCCCTATGGTCCTATACGCAGATGACTTAAAAATTTGGAGAGAGCTGAAGGGCAACAGTGACACGTCCACGTTGCAAGAGGACCTCAACAAATTGTCAGAGTGGTCCATAGAATGGATGCTCCCGATCAATGTGGCAAAATGCGCAACCATGCGCATTGGACAAGCAAGCACGAACTCCTACGAACTAGAGGGAATAACACTCCCATCAGTTCAGACTCACTTGGACTTATGTGTCATAGTTAGCCACGACTTAAAAACCACAGCACACTGCCGCGCGGTGGCTGCACGTAGTTTCACGTCATTATGGGCAATTCGAAGAGCCTTCACTAGAATCACCAGAGATATGTTCACCTCCTTATATACATCTCTGGTGAGGTCATGACTGGAAAACTGCATCCAGGCCGCCAGCCCTTGTCTAAAAGGGAACTCGCACATTCTAGAAAGGGTTCAAAGGAAGGCAACACGTATGGTTCCCGGAATGACTAATTTATCATACGAATAAAGACTAGACAGTTTAAATCTCTTCTCCTTGTCATACCGTAGGCAGAGAGGAGATTTAATCACAATGTTTAAAATTTTAAATAATGACTACGGACCTGACCTATTTTCTCTTTTCCTTCCCACCAGGTCGGAACACCTTACAGGACATAGCAGGAGAGTTCAAAAGCCAAGAAGAAATCATATTGCTGTTGAGTAATGGTTCTCACATCGAGTCATAAACTCTTGGAACCGACTCCCAGAAGAAGTGGTGTCTGCAACCTCAACTGATTCGTTCAAGAAGGGTTGGCACAACCACAGAAATTTACTAGAAAAGGATTAACATAGGCTCCAAGCCTTCTATCCTCAACCAATACATCTGAATCTGAATATAACGAAAATCGATTACCTTCCACATACACCACCGCCTCTGTCTCCCTCTCACTTGAACGACTCCTAGGACGTGAACAACGCCTCCACCTTTCTTCGCTCTGATTCAGTCCATGTCTTCTCCGACCATATCGATCTCTCTCCTCTCCATCGTCTTCATGCCGATCTCCATACACATCTCTTCCGCAGTAATCAGGATAGTAGTGGCCATCCCAATGTTCCCTTGAAAGCTCATATGTAACACTACGAGCTCCATATCCGTAGTGCAAACTTGAGCGGGGACGTCTCTCGTAGTCTGTAAAAGTAAGGGAAGTTATGAATATGGTATATTATCAACAGAATCTCGCGGTAATGCACAGTGACTAAACCTCACATTCTCATATCACGTTGGAGGTAATAAGGTGTTTTAGGATACAATCTCTTAGCGGTAGATTGAAATAAATAATTAGTCAGCCTGTTAAATCACTCAAGCTTGTGGTCAAGTATGTTCCAGTCCGGCAAAGTACACAGCTCGGACTAGCTACCAGTGTCTTCGTTAACTGATGTCTCGTCTTGGGTTCGGCAACTTTCTCTCATTCAGTTCATATTTCACCCTCCTCGATTAAAGCAAGTTGATTAGGTAGCTATGTTCTGTAACACATCCTCCAATCACATACAACATCTTCCTTCTTTAGGAAGAAGTGACCATGCTGTGCTCACTTTCAAGTTCACAGCAACGGAGGCAACGGCCAAAACCCCAGCTCGACCAAACGTTTGGAAAGCTGATATAAATGCAATCGTCTCAGCAGCCAACTCAGTAAACTGGTACATCAACCCAGAGTCTCAAGTAGAAGCCGCATGGAACCAATTTAAACAACTCTACGCCCAAGTAACTGAACCTTTCATCCCTTGGTCTGTCCCAAAGGGTCGGAAACATTGCCCCCATTGGATAAACCGAGAGATTCGTAAGTTACTCAGACGTAAACGCAAATGTTGGAACTTGTTTGCCACACTTAAGACTTCTGACACCAGGCAATTATATAACACTGCTAGAAATAGAGCTATTGCAGAAATCCACCAATCAACGATGAAGTTCGAAGCACACCTGGCTCAAAATGCAAAGGCACAACCTAAGAAAATTTTCTCGTACATGAACTTCAGGAATAAAACATCCAATGGTGTCCCAAACCTGACTATTGACAATGATACAATCGAAGAAGATCAAGAAAAAGTAGAAGCAATGGCAAACTACTTCTCCCAAGTCTTCACTCAGGAGTCATCACTGCCTATAGGATCAGCTCTGGCTGCATCAGAAGAACATGGGATAGATTCCGTTGACATCAACCAAGGCATCGTGCTCAACTGCCTAAGGAAACTAGATGCAGGGAAATCAATGGGTCCTGATAATCTTCATCCAAGGCTTCTCAAGGAGCTATCAGCCCACATAGCCGGCCCTTTGACTACGATCTTCAAGCTTTCTCTCCTAAATGGAGTGTTACCGTGTGACTGGAAAGACGCCATAGTAACCCTCATCCACAAAGGAGGATCAAGACAAAGCCCTTCAAATTACAGGCCTATCAGTCTCACCAGCACTTTAATCAAGACACTGAATAGAATCATCGAGAAAAGCATTATGGCATATCTAGAAAATAGAAGCTTATTATCTAGAGCACAGCATGGCTTCCGAAGGAACCTTTCATGCCTGTCAAATCTTCTCACTGCAAGAGAAAGCTGGGTCAAATCCAGGGACAACAGAAGACCCATTGACGCCGTCTTCATAGACTTCAGCAAAGCCTTTGATAAAGTACTTCACAAAAGACTACTCATGAAGTTGGAAAGTCTTGGTATCAAAGGCAGCTTACTAAACTGGCTCAGGGAATTGCTCATAGATAGGAGGCAGAGGGTTAGGATCAACTCGAAACTCTCCTCTTGGACAGCAGTACGCAGCGGAGTGCCACAAGGCACGGTACTCGGACCTCTCCTATTTATTTTGTATATCAATGGGTTATCTCTGCTCACCGACTCCCCTATGGTCCTATACGCAGATGACTTAAAAATTTGGAGAGAGCTGAAGGGCAACAGTGACACGTCCACGTTGCAAGAGGACCTCAACAAATTGTCAGAGTGGTCCATAGAATGGATGCTCCCGATCAATGTGGCAAAATGCGCAACCATGCGCATTGGACAAGCAAGCACGAACTCCTACGAACTAGAGGGAATAACACTCCCATCAGTTCAGACTCACTTGGACTTATGTGTCATAGTTAGCCACGACTTAAAAACCACAGCACACTGCCGCGCGGTGGCTGCACGTAGTTTCACGTCATTATGGGCAATTCGAAGAGCCTTCACTAGAATCACCAGAGATATGTTCACCTCCTTATATACATCTCTGGTGAGGTCATGACTGGAAAACTGCATCCAGGCCGCCAGCCCTTGTCTAAA